TTTCGATTTTTGGGGTGCTAAGAGTGGGGTCGGCATGGGTATATTAGGGGTTAATCGAGGCCAATAATTATAAAACAAATATGTAAAACAAAAATATATCCCAACGATTTGATTTAAGCAACTAAACAAAAAATACACTGACTATCTTATATTTGAGAAAGCCCCTAAATATGTATTTATTTATGATTGAGTTACCATTCTACCCCAGTTTGATACTCAAATTGTTTTGCGCATTCACATTTTTACACAGATAGATCGGATAGACGGGTATGACTATATCGACCCGGTTTCTGATACTTATAAAAAATCAAAATGCATAATCGAAAATTATCCGTCTTTCTGTTACACAATTTACTTCAGGGTATCTTCTAGTCGAGCTTTCTCAAGTAGAGCATTCTAACTTGTTTAATTTTTTTATTTTTTTTCAAACTTTGCTTTGGTATCGACTCTGCTGTTTTTGTACGACTGCGATTTTTGTGGCAGGGAATCCAAATATTGAGAGAGCATCGCATTATGCGCAGCACATTATTATGTTCAGGGGGGTGTGAAATTCAATTTTCTGCCAGCCATTGTTGGCAGCTGCCTTTTCAATTCAGCTCGTTCACTTATACTTGTCCGTTTTCATTATCACAGCCAAATTGTGTGACTTTTGCCCTAAACCAATGACTGGCACATTGCAGGCAGCGGTTTGCCCCAAGCATAAGTTAAATGCCAGTCTCATACATTCAGCCGACCTAAATAATTAAATTCTGTGGATTGGGAGAGCTTGAAATTTCATTAGAAAGATGTCAGACAAATGAAGGCCATTCCTAATGGAAGTAAAATAAGAGTTGGGTTACGATCAGGCAGGACGACGTCGACCCAGTGCAATCCAATCTGCCAGCCAATAAATATTAAATGAAACTAGTCAATAGCATAAATTATAAGACTCATTTGCCTTCAGTATCAAACAGCAAATAAGTTCCACATTTAATTTAGTGGTTTTCATGGCTTCACTCAAAGTTTCATTCCAATAGAGCACACTCTGGAAGTCATGCAGTTTATCAATGCTATAAATCGATTAAAAAGTAATTACAAGGATTTTGAGTGGTTATATTTTTACTGTGTGAATTGTAAATTCAAATCCGTTTGAATTTTTTTCGATGTTTGAAGCGCGTTTCCAAATTTGAAAGTATTTGAGTCTAGCTCAATAACTTTGAAAAAGATAAGCCTTTCCTATTCTTAGAAGTGTGGAGGCTAAGGGTTTTGGCATCCCTGAAAGCAGTCCACAGCAATCCAACTCTTATTCTTTGTCATCTTTCGTCCTCTTTCTCCCTGTCCCTCTCTATCTCTCTTATCTAAATTTTCTCTTTCTAATCTACAAAATGTCCAACCTTTTATTTTATACCAACTGATTGTCTTTTTGTCTGAGTTTCTCTAATCCTTGCAATGAATGTGAAACCATTTTAAATTTTAATTTTATTATTACTTTCTAAAGTGCATTTTTTAATTGTAACCTTAGTTTTACAATTTTAATTTTGAAATCTTGTCCGTCATGGTGTCTGTCTGTCCGTTCGTCTGTCCGTCTGTATGAACACAACTTTTTTCGACACCCTTAGATATGGAGACTTGAAACCTGGAATATATTCTGGTCTGTGCTCGCATCGGACAAAGTGCAAAAATTTGACTGATACGTCCACTAGAGGGCTAAGAAATCGATATTCGAAAATCGATAAAGCCACATATCTACCACAATTTTAAAGCTAAAGTCACCAAATTTGGTTGGTAGGTTGTCCTACCAATGTCTATCAAAGTTCGGCATATGCCACGCCCACCTCCGCCACCCCCACACCTCTCGCCCTTAAGCATTTTAAATGGCAAAGTTTTTGAGTTAGATCCGTTAAAATAGGTAAATATGTTACTTGTAGCCAACACCTTGAAAGGTAACTTGCTGGTAACCTCCTCCAAGGATCAGCATAAACATTTTCAGATCACGCCTACACCCGCATCGCCCCGCAAGTTCAGTTCTAAAAATATTAAATGTGCATATATTTCACAATTTGTAAGCTAGAAGCACCAAATTTTAAAAGTATGTTACTTGTAACTCGCCTAAGAGATCGATAAAAAAATTAGATGGCCACGACCACACCACGCCTCCCTAAGCCGACACACCTGCCACACAATTTGAAAGCTAAAGTCACCAAATCTGAAAGGTATATTGCTAGTAACACCCTTCAAAAATCCGGAAACATTTTTGGACCACACCCACCCCTGCCCCAAAAACGATAAAAGCTTATATCTCCCAATTTAAGAACTACAATTAACAACTTGTAGGAAGATCACTAAGAACCTTCTCTAATAATTTTTTCGGCCGCGCACACCGTAATTTAAGAGCTACGATACTAGCTTATATCTACCGCAATCTGAAAGGCAAGCTTGGACTGTACTTCTCGGCTACACCCACCCTGTTCTTTGTTACTTATCGCTGGAATAACAGTCGGTTACGCCCGACTGCAATGTTTTCTCTTGTTTTATTCTATATTAAATAAATAAATTATATTCTGACGCCGATAATATGCATATTTTAGTCAATGTCTACCACATATTCTTACAGATTTCGGTCCACGTTTCTTAATCCATATTTCTACTGTAAAATAAAAAATAATAAAAAGGCTATATCTTGAAAATGTTGAATATTTTTGCTATCGGTAATCGATCGGAATCGTTTGAAGCTATTGATAGAATAAATTTAATTTATATTCCAAAACAAAAACTCTGGCACCTATAGCCTCTCAAATCTGCTTGCTCATCTGAACGGTCGGAACATGCCTTAATCGAATTCGCTGTTGATAAGGATATATGTGCTTGTAAATTTATCTTTCTGTTACATACTTTATACAATAACTTTATACCGTTTTCGGCGTAAAAAAGGGAGAAAAAAAATAGGATGGAAAGTATGAATAATCGTTCTATTATTTGTATTTATAATTATATAGAGTTGTAAAATATAAGCAAGAGGACTCAGGTTTTTAGCGGTGTGGGACCCGAAGATAATGCTTATTTAAATAATTGTCCATCTTCAAATCAGTAAATTATTGCACTGCAAGATGATAAAATGGAAAAGCGACTTTTCGATTTATTAACTGCTACATTATATTTGAGCTTGTGTCTTTAAGCAATTAACAATTAACATTTATTACAAGTTTTTGTTTCATATTAAGAAAACCTAGAATCGGATAACGTTATTGATTTTAATGATTTTATTTTACGTATGCCTGCTAAGCATATTTATTTATGAATATTTTTGAGAGATTTTCTAAATTATTAAAAATTAAAATGCATCAGTGCTTAAAATTTCACTTTTTTTTAATTTTTACATAAACAATTATTTATTCTAATCTTCCAATATAATAAATATATAAATTTTGAAATTGTGACTAATTTTTACATGGTATATTCCAAATTTTTGCTTAATAAATTGATTTTCGATAGAAATAAAATTATGTTTTTGCTTCTTTGTTCTTTTAAATTTATAAATAATTTAGAATTACGTGTGCAGTAGAGTGAAATATTTTGTAATATTTTCCTTATTTGTAAGTATTTGCTTTGTATATATTATTATAATTCGCAACATCCTATAGTTAATATTTGTAGGCATTTGTAAGTACATAGTAAGTAGATTTTTTATTTTAAGAGTTTAGTAAAAAATAACTTTTTAAAATTATTCTATATTTTAGTGCTTATTTATATTAAAAATACAATTAACAACACAAATATTTTTTTATTATTATAAAATCAAATAACAAAATTACAGACCACAAAATATGTGCACTGTGACTTCGATATTTGAGTAATACTTTAAAGCTTTATTAATTGAAGATTTCACTCGAATATACTTATATATCCTTTAAAGCAGAGTTTCTCACTAAAAGGCTACAATGTGTGAGTATACCTAACAGCAGAACCATCAAATCTACTGTTTGATTCCTTTGTCACAAATATATTCTATATATATTATATAAAGTTCAATTGGTATGCGGTTATGATTGAAAAACTCTGCTTAAATAATGAATATCCTGTATTCATTCGGATATTCATCTGAAAATTCTTTGTACATGTTTGAAATTTGAACATATTTTATACATTACCTCTTTAATGTTCTAGTATATGTTTTTAATCGGCATTATTTACTTTACTATTCCATGCAGTAAGCAAACTCTTAAGCAAATGTCATAATCATCCCTAATTACTTTTAGACAAACTTTATTGTAGTTTTTTTTTATTATTTTTTATATAATTGTAATGCAGTTTTATATATATTTGTATGGATTTTTGGAAAGTATATGAGCTTCATAATTCATCTTATCTGAAATTCAGACACCATATCAAAATAATCGGTTGGAGCGGTCATAATAGTATACTTTTCATGAATACTCTATATTTCTAGTTATTGATTTGTATAACTATCGTTTTACAAGTTTTCATTAGGAAGACATTTAAATTTAATATTACTATGACAGCACTATGAAAATATAAAACATATAAAATCAAATCAAAAAAAAAACAAATCAGCTTAAACTTTCTGTAGGTGAATTTTCAATCTAAACTTTAAAACTTTGGTATTGGTTTTCTAAAAGATAGCTTCACAATTTTGGTTAACCTCAAAATGTAAAGAATTAAACCGTATTTTATTTCCAAATTTAAAGCTAGTAATTCAAGGACAGTTTAAAGCCCAACTATCTCCCCCTCCCTTATTAACACAAGAAGACTTTTAACTTGTTCAAGATGCTATTGTACTAGTGACACCGACATTTCTAATTTGTATATTTTCACATACTCGCCGTATATTTGTGAGTACAATCAGCATCAATTCGGAGATATTAACATTTTTATAGAACTATTAGAAAAAAAATTTAAATATTTTATTATAATTCAGCGCCGAAATTATTATCAGATTTTCAAAGTTAGCAATAACAATTCAAAAATGATAACAACATGATTTAAATATTTCTTTAGTACAGATTTGTTGATCAATAATTTGTTGTTTAGGTCCCATTTAAAAATTGTTTAATAACGAAACATGGAATTCTTACAAGTATATAACCAAAACCTAGATAAAGGCCTACATTTAAAAAGCTTTTCATGTGTAACTCTATTTAATTTCTAAATTTGAAACGAACGTTGCTCTATTGAGATATCATTTAAAAAAAACACATTATGATTGGCATGGTCACCAAAACAATAGAATATTTGAGGTAGCCACTTGAATTACAGCCATCCTCCTTGCAGCAATAGGTTTGGGTTTCCCAAATTTCTGTAAGCAAAAAAATTAATTATACTAATTGGAATACCATGCTGGCTTCAATATCCAGTAAAATACAAAAAAAAAAAAAATGATTCAGTTTATTAAACGCATATATATACATAAGCCAATAAACATACATAAGCAAATAAATTGTTTTCGAATATAAGCAATAATAAGCATTATCTACCTTTCTCGACGCATTCCGTTGCACAATCGCGTACAGTCGACAATTCGCTAACATATTTCTGAAAAATCACAGAGAGAAATCAAACATTTAAATTACGACTAATTTGTATTAATATTAATTTAATGCATGTTTATGGTTAATAGTAAAATACTAAAATTGTAATGTTTAACCGGCTACGAAATACTCTGATATCAGCTGATAACGGGCGACATGGTTATACGATATCGATTTTGTGGGGCGTAGCCACCATGACCAAGACATGTTATTACCAATCTTAACAAAATATCCCTACTATATTTTTTTCAACGTCTTGCACCCTTAGCTACAAAATCTATAAATCAAAATTTGACATCTTTACCTTTAAAATTTTGCGAGATCTATGGCTTTGTCAATTGACAATGATCGATTTTATCGTTTTGCTTGCACCTTAATGAAGGCAGCCCACTACTTTGAACACTTTGTCTAACGCGGGCACAGATGAATATATATTTCAAGTTTCAAGTGTATAAATTTAAGAATGTTTTGAAAAAATTATGCTCACACAGACGAACAGCATGACAAACTTTTCACAAAACCATTCATAGCCCGATTCCGCATATTGCAGCTATTTTATTTAGAATTCCAATGCTTATAGTTTTTTCCCCAACATTTTAGATATATCATTTGTAACTAGCGAGTAAAAGAAACCATTTTTATTTTCATTTCATTTTTGACCGATGAAAAAACTCTAGTGTAAGGATCAATTAAGATAGTTTTTAAACAGGAAAAGGAAGATTGACGAATATGGCTAGAGCGACTCAGTTATTGAAGCTGACATGTACACATATTGTGGGATCAGCGATGTCTCCAGTTTCATTTCGAAGCACCTTTTGGAATAATGGTATATAAAAACTTACATTTGTGGTTTTAACAAACACAACTATTGTGTTCGGAAAACTGGCAATTCACACTGAATGTGATTGTTTACTGTGATTTGCACGTGCTATTAGGTTTGCAAGAAAAGTGTACTATGAAATTGAGCGTCTTGTTATAATTGCTGCTAGAATTGAACTTTAGAAATGAATCGTTATACCTTAGAGATCTGTATAATAACTTAAAATAAACTATATAACATGCAACTTCAGATCTGGGCGGTGTTTAAACTATTTAATTAGCAACTTTATTTGTGACCGGAACAAAAAGTGCGGGTCTGACTTGCTCGAATCTCTAACTCGGACCCCTCAGTGAAGCTATCGATATTTACTAAGACTACAATGTTGGGTTTACATAAATTAGTAAGATTTAACAGAAATATGTAAAGTTGCGATAAATTGTCGAAATCAACAGCTGATCATTCAATATCAGTCACATTCAAATTAGTTAACGAATTCTTCAACTTTTCAGAAATTTAAGCATAAAATGTAAAAAAAAAACGCCATTATATGACTTATATGCATTTACTGTCTATTATGAAATAATAGTAATTAAATAATAAACAGCTTTCAAAAACATATGCAAGAATAATGAAATAAATATCATTATATAGGATGAAAACTGTTTAAAATATATGAAAACAAAATTAAATTCATCATACTATTTAAACCAAAATATTTTTATTTTTAAACCCTATGAACACCACAACAATAACGCACCTGCATCTCACTTGTTAGCACACATCCACATTAACCGAGACCAAGAGCCCCCAACCAACGCTATACACAACACGTGGCAGCCCTTTGTTATCCAATAAAGCACTTAACCTGCTTAATCGTCGACGAAACTAGGGGTGAAATGGCTCGAAAGTGGATGCAACGCAGAAGCAAAACCTTACAGAAAGTTCTTTGGCTCTGCTGATGGGCAGCACTTAACAATTTGGCGTACCATCTTCTCGGACTCATTTTGTTTTATGATCCCCACAGGCAGCAATCAACCCGTGTATGTGTTGACAAAGGGGGCTCATTATGCTATTCCACTAATGCGAGATGTGAAACATGATCCCATTGTGTGGCAATATTAGACTTATGGGAAAAGCGTGCATGTACATATATTACATAAGCGAGTACATATGTGAGAGCGACGTCCTAGTAGTACAAAAGTACACAGTTGGACATAGCTATGAGCTGATAAGAGCTACAAACACCAAATACTGAAGGTGAATTACTGCCAGCCTCCAATATTCACTGTTATCTCATCACCAGAGCAAAGTTCCGCCAACACCCATGCCAGCTGCTGTTTTCAGCTGCTTATACCGTGTAACCATTAGCAATGTGTAAAACAGGTAATTGAAGCATATACAACCCAAAATTACGGGGGTATCACAACCCAAGTCGCTTTGACTGCCTATCCTTTCGGCTCGGAGACTATTAAAATTTTTGAACATAAATATTCGCATTTTTAAAAGGAACAAGTTTTTGCAGCTTATCGGTAAAAACCTGAATAAAATTCGATTCCCTGTTGTAAAGAAAACCCTTTCGTTTCTGGGGGAATTAAGCACGCCTTAGAATAGAATTTTCACGCACTCTCGACTGGATTACTGATATTAATGAAAAAAAAAAGTTTTTATAAAATTTAATAACTTAACGGGCCTTTTTACATATATGTTTAATAGAAATGTGTTTAAATTACAAAGTAAATTGATTTGCCAGTCGAAAGTTTCAAAAGACCTGAATTCACGATGGAGTTTTCACATTCAGTGAGCACGGTACGCTGTCCGGTATATAGAATGGTCCGCTGCATAGGAGAATTTATTACCCCCTCTCAATCAAATGGAATTCCTTCCGTACACCAAATCCAAAGTGAAAGAATGCTTAATAGTTTAGTTCCTATGTATGTGCATTGATGTTGATGCACTTTAATATAGGCAAGCTTTCAACCAGAAAGAGCCGTGCAGCCGTCGAGCAAGTTTTCAATCCGACAGTTTCCATTTGCCTCATACACTGGAAATATGTGGCAAGTGGAATTTGTTGTAAAACGCCCACACAAACAAGTACCAATGAACTCTTGAATAAAATGGCACCCGTAACCCGCTCCATTCAGAATCGCAATTTAATATGATTGCCAAAAATGTCGAAAGCTGAGCTGCCTTTGGCCATGGCATAGACGTAATGCAATAAACTGATTTAGTTGTTGGCTGCACTTATCTGGTAACCACCAGCAATCAAAAATAGGTAGATTTACTTGAAGTTTTAAGAACTTTTGTATTTACAGAGTCTACGGCTGCCCAAATATACTCAAATAACTTTAAGCAGGTATGTATTTCATCGATGTTTGCCTAATTCAATATATCACTAACAAAAAGCTATTCCTTAAATAGTAGTTCTAACATTTAAAAGTCCTACATGTGTACCTTTCTTCATGGATAAAGGCGCTCTCACACTTAATAAGAAGTGATATAATGGCAAGTGATCCTTTTTGATATCTATATTGTCTTAGGAGTTTATGTTTATATTTAGCGCATTTAGTACATGCGTGAACATAATAATAAAATATTATCAATTACAATTCCAAAAGTATTTAATGACTACAGTCAAAAGAAGTCGCTCAAATTTTTCGAATATTCAAATTTGTTGGCCCTAATGACTCTCACCTTATTATTCAAAAAGTGTATTTCTAAAAACCAGGGTTTTTCTTTTCTTAATTTTAAGATTCACTTTTCTAAATTTTAGAAAGAAAAAAATTGTTCAATACTTAGGATGTATTTTTATAGCAAGCAAAGCAAAGTATTTTTTTAAGCAGAGAAACTCTAAAATTATCAACTTTGTTGCTTATATTTTTAATAAAAATTAGTGTTTTATTATTATATTATTACCGCATATACAAACAATTTAATTTTGGTTTATAAATTCATGTAATTTTAATTTTAAGAAAGTTTTCTGCGTCTTGAACTAAAATCGTCGTATTGCACATATCGATTCAAGGCAAGCCTTTCTAATTCTTAGAATTTTTCTTTTTTATTTGGAAATAATTTCTGACCAATTTAGGGCGATATGTTTCTGAATATACGGATATATTTAACGATTTACTCAAATTAAAACCGTCAATTTATTAGTGCTTTCAGTAGGCTTTGAGATATTACAAATTAAATTGAAAACATCGCCCACCATCATGCATACGAGTATAAACAAAGCAGACTTTTTTGCGCTTGTGCTGTGTAAGTTATTCGCCCTGGCTAGCTCGTTAAACCGCTGCTCTCCAGAGTACTGCAACTTTGCTGGTGAATGCGAAATAGTCGCGGGCAAGCCAAATTGCACATGCTATGAGGAAGCATTTCGCGGCAAATACTGTGAGCAAGTTAAGAATCTTTGCAATACAGACGAAAACACATGCACGCCAAAGGACTTTTGCGTTCCTTACGTGGGTCAGACAATCTGTAATTATCGGAGCCAAAGAACTGGATACGACATCGAGCGCATTGAGCACATCAAACCAATATGTAGTTACAATGTACGTGCCGTGTATGGGATCACGGAGAATATTGTTCTAAGTTTTGAGAAACTCGGCACTGATGACTTGCAGATAAAAATATCAACGCCCACATATATAATTGCGTATATGACACTCTCAGATCTGCCAGGGCCGAGAACATTACGCAGCCAGCATACAACCAACTTAACGGAAACTCTTCAAGAGCTAAGCATCCGAAGACATATGCATCTGCCGTATACAAACGCCCGTTATATTGTATTTAATGCTACGCATTTTACATTGGGTGCAAATCCATTAAGTGTGTCCATTAAGTCCTTGGGAAAGAATCCTCAATTGCTAGATCTGTCACTCAAAGTACATGTCGTGAAACCGATATCCGTATACTGCATTCCCGTAATAATGTTTAATAAAGGCATGTATGAACCCTGGCCGGTGAATGTCGCGCGCTTTACAAACATTCAAGCGATTGTAAAAAGCCGTTGTTTCCCTTCTAATGGATTAATAACCACCGTTTGGGCCATTTACAACATTGGGGAAAACTGTAAGAAGACTGCTGTGCAACTGGTCGTATCCAGTATTATCTTACGTTAAATCCCTCTCTTTACAGTTGCTTATTTAACCACAGATTACAGTAATCAGTTATTGTTTAAAATACCTCGATATACATTGTGGTACGATTATCTGCTAAGAGACTATCCCAATCTAATACTAACGGTGCGGATTAAGTTTAAGGAGCTTTACGGACCTTGGGTAATAGCAAGAGTAGGTATATGGAACAACACCTAGCAATAACTTAGCATAACAACAGTATTTTTTAGTGTTATATTAACGTGACAGCGCCTGCTGTAATTGCCGATATTTTAGGCGGCGATTACAGAGAAGTAAGTGACAAAAGTAAGTGGTTGCATCTTGATGGCTCAAGGAGTCGTGAGCCGGCTGTAAGTTTGCATGCCCCTCAGCAGCTAACGTATAGTTGGTTCTTAAGCTCTGAAGACGGAAATGACAAGACAACCCTTAGTTTCGAAAGTTCTAGTAAGTATTTATTATTAGAAAGCGTTGTTGTTTTATTAGGAGCTTTACAGGTTCGACGATTCAACTTCCGACTAAAAGTCTTAAGACAGACTCAACAAACATTATCACTTTGACGGTAATCAATAAATTTATAAGGAGCCGCAGCCATACTACCACCCAAGTTGTTCGGCTAGTCAGTGAAACAGAACCGATCTGGGTAGAGATTGAGTGCATAAAGAACTGCCAGCACAATTTTTACAGTGCCGGCTCTGTATTGCACTTGCGCGCTGTTTGCCACAACTGCACAAAGCCCGTCACCTACACCTGGACAGTAAATGGCGTCGATATGGAGGAAAAACAGCGCTTGGTGACTACACTTCCAACAGATTTGGTCGGCGAGCTTACGATCAAACTCAATATTGCGAATCGAGTTGGAACTGGACACAATGAGCTCAGATTGCAGAATTGGATGCCACCAACTGGCGGAAACTGTACAGCAACGCCTGAAACTGGCCTGGAATGCGTCACAATATTTTTTATACATTGCAGTAACTACATATCTATGAATAACCTGCCGATTTTGTATGTCATTAAGTTTGGAAGCATATATTCGGACATAACAAGTACAGGCCACAGTTTTCTTTACCTTACTGTTCTGCATAAATTAACTGTTGACATCTGTGTCACTGGCTTTCCCTGCGCACATACGACTGTCTCCATTACAGTTGAGCCCACGAATTTGCAAGGACCTGAGGTCGTTGAGACGGCGCTTTTGGATGGGAGAACTCAGAGGGCATTCTGCATACTTCAAAAGTTGTCAGAAACCCAGAATAACGTACATGATGTGTTAAAATACTTTAAAACTATAGAAACGGATAGAACGCATACATTTTTGGAAATGATAAATACGCTGGAAATATGCCATAATTATATTTCAGCTGTGCCGGTGGTAGATAGCTTGGAGGTTTTAGTTGTTTTATATATGTTAAAGAGAGTAGAATTTACTTTAGATTATATCAGACAGGATACCGAAATATTAGATATGTCACTGGAGTCCTGTCTCAAACTGGGCAAGGGAATAACCAATATCATCGAATATTGCTTGAAGGAGAACAAGGGAATAACACAACAAAATTATCCTCTGTGGGATTTCGACGGCCCGTTTGACGAAAAGTTTGTCAATTGGACCCGTTTCGATAAGGAAATAACATTACGCGTTAGCAGGTATTTAAACACAGTCAGCTTAATCTTCAAAATCTGGAATATAATTGGCGAGGAATCAACTCGCTACATTCAACCGGAGGAGCCCTACGAATATGCCACACAACATGTTAGTTATATGGTGCAAATGCATGAATCCTATGACCATATCATATACACTTCCAATTCCACGTACTGCACTATAGAAGTACCTCTTCCATCAGTGGAGGCTCATCGCTGGATGCTTAGGACCAACGATCTCCTGCTACATACTTGGTGCTTCGATTATAATATGTTCTGGTGGGCACCCGAAGCTTGGTCCCCATCTAACGCTGTTTTGGCTGTCAACATTTTTGGCCGCAATCGACCCAGCAATCTCCGACTTAGGTCAAAGCAATGGTATAAATTGAATCTACGTCGTAACGAATATCAGAACATCCGTCTCTTCGAACACTCCGATGAAATACATAACAATATGTTAATATACAAAGTAAAGTTGCAGGGCCCAGTTAACATGCTGGTAAAGTTTATGAACAGCACGGCAGTACTGCGGGTACTAGTTACAATGAATGTGGAGCCCACGCTGATTAATCTGCACGACAAGAGCTGCTTTGTGCCCAAAGGTAGTCATGAGACTAATATTATTTTAAAAAATCGGTGTTCTGGCGAGGGCTTTGCTTACATAGCGGTATATAAGGCGAACTCATTCGATACTGCAACCGCCAAGTACCATTATCGCCTCAGTGCACAGGAGTGTTTAGTGTGGGGTATGCGCGATGGTAATCCGCACTGGTTGAAGAAAGGATGTTATCCACAAAACTTACAACAGACTCCAAACACCTTTCAATGCGACAATGATCATCTGTCCATATTTACTTCAAAAGAGTACGCAATCAGGCCATTTCCCATACAAAAAATACGAAACTATGCCATTGAAGACTCTCTTAATGTGGTCTGCGTGTTATTTAACTGCTTTGTGGTTTTAAGCGCCATTACCCTGCTGCTACTGGCCACACGACGTTTGCACCGGAAAAAAATGAATTTGATACGTGTCATTAAATTTGATCGGGATGAGGTGGACCCAAGTACTGAAAATGTGATCGTGCATATGCGCACGGCTGGCACTTTATTAGGGAAGACTACAGCGAATATTAAATTGGTGTTTAAATCGAATCTGGGGCGCTACAAGATCATTATATATCAGAACCCGATAGATCCAAATCTGGTATTAAATACGTCATGCATGATACGTGTTAGCGACCGGAAAGTGGAGTTGCCATGCGAACTGACTATTAGCCATGATATATCGGGCAGGTATCCAACCTGGTACTGTCGGGACATCCAAGTGGACGATCTGCGGCGCGATCTAAGCTATACATTTCCCTTACATATGTGGTTAAAGCGTGGACAGAAGATTCGAGTCTCTTGCCTAGCAGCAGATAAAAAACAATTGGCCAAAAATCAAATATATCACATGACGAAAGCCAAGGGTTTCAAAAAGTTTATATTAGGGTTTCGGTTCTATAGCAAGTTCTACTATACCAACTGGTTTATGATGCAACCCATTTTGGGACCGTGGCGCTTCAGCGATGACTCCTGCAACAGTTACGAGCGCACATGCATTTGGATATGCAAAACAGTTCTTACTATAACCATTGTGTTTTGCTATTACAGAAACACCTCATTTTTAAATTATTTCGACTATGAACAACCGCTTACGATTCTGAGCTTCTCCGAATTTTTAGCAATATCAATTGGCTGCTATATTGCTGTCCTAATTTTTGAATTCTGCCTTCTTCATTTGGTACGTTTATAAATGTATTCAATTATTTGCTCTATTAAATATAAATGTTAGCAATAAACAATGATCCTATTTTTATACACTGCACCCATTGAAAATGGGTAAAAATAGTACTATGACAATGGCAACTCCGACCCCATAAGCTATATATGCATATTCTCAGTTATAATCAAAAGTCGAGCTGAACTAGAAATGTCCGTCCGCCTGTGTGAACTGTTTTGGATACTCTTCACATTGGAGTCTTGAAAAATATACTTGTCTGTGCCCTCATATACAAATATACTTGTCTGTGCCCTCATCGCAAAATGTGTATAAATTGTGGTGATTCGTCCATTAGGAGACAACAAAATCGGTAAAACCAGAATTTCGTCAGCCACACCCACCTCCGACGTCCACACCTTCCCCCATATCGCTAAAAGCGATCTATCTGAAAATGTAAATCGATAAAACCTTATATATCACACAATTTGAGAACGGGGGTCACCAAATTTGAAGTGTAGACTGCTAGGAAAACCTTTAAGAGGCGTGAAAACAAAAGTGTGTCAAATATGTACTAGCTAGGCAAGAATACATGTATACTTTTCAACCAATTTAAAAGGACAGCAGTCCAAGTCATTATAAAAATGTTCATATTGTAACCAAACTATATTGAGATAATCAATGATGTATTTATATGGGCGATACATTGCATCCATTAAGCCCGAACCTCGTTGTCAAGGGATCTTGATAGGTTCATCAGTTTAAATAGGAGAATGGTCAATCGTATTTCGTAAAATGACATGCGATTATATATTTGGTATAATCGCTTCTATTGATCAACCATACTTTTCGAAGATAACAAATTATTGAGAATATCAATTTGAGTATTTAGGATAGCCCCAATTGTATAAATTCGTTCCTGTTGCTGTCTAGATTGTTCATGTTCCAAAACCAAATCAGTCTGCGCCATCCTTTTCTCTGTCTCGAAAGTATGGAAACCTTCTGTTCGATTTTTATATTTATCAAGGTAATCCAGATGCTTCTGAATATTTTCCTTAACAGTGCGATTGTGACGATGATAGTATTTGCGAAAAATTCGAAACCTTTGCCACCACTGAATATAAAAAGCAAACTCGACGTACAAAAATTGGAAAATGCTTATATGGCGTTCATATCGAGTATCCCTCTGATCCTTGGCAGTTGAGAAGTAGTCGTTGATAAGCGATACAAAAACATTAACTAGCATTACAGCAATAACGAATACCAGAATCGTAAACATGATAATTCCGAGAATCTTTCCACCATAAAATAGATCTTTTGGATGGACACCAACACTAAATCCGAAGGAGAAGCACATGCAAGTGACGATGCTCTTGGTCAGTCGATAAAAAAAGTAGCTATTGTTGCCATTTATGGTTGACGCCGCCATTGCAAAGCCCAATATAAATATGCATATTACGATTAGAATGGTCGCCACAGCTCTCCACGCGAGCTTAATTGTGTACGTGAAGAGTTGAAAGACTGTCGAGAATTGCAACACCTTCCACAACCTCAAGGTTGTTATACAGATAAGAAAACCAATCATCACTCTGATTAGCACGTGCAAGCGAGATGCATGTTTCAGTTTAACGAAGTCCATTTTGCTGTCACCTTCAATGTTCTCCAGAACCCTCGATACTATACCTTCACGAATGCAAATAAGTGCTAACAAAATTGTATTGAGCAGAAATATGCCTACATCCACTTTGTTCCACGTGCTGTGAATTTCGCTTGGCTCGAACCACAACTTCACTGTAAGTGCTTTGAAAAACTGGAGAAAAACGATGGCATAAACCATACTCAAGGCTATCGCCGCATTTGACAGCTGGCTCATATTTTCCAGCAGCTTCACGCTCTCCACTTTTAGATGATTAATAGTGCTGCCAAAGGGTGTCTGTTCCACACGCATTGTGCACACACTTAAAATGTTTGCGTCAGTGTTGTATAGCGCAAAGTCCATAAAGAGTACTGAAGTGTTGTAATTAAGCCACTTGCTCTTACTAAGGTATTCCAGAATCCTAAGACTATTTTGACGACTCCTAGCAAGTAGTACCTCATATCCCATTAACTCAGGATAATTACGGAAAAACCCCTTATGAACGAAATCCATCAAAAAATCGTCCGAAGTTGCAGGGCTTCTAGGCAACCAAGGCCCGTAGATACGCCAATAAATCTTAGAGTAGGGTAACTCTAAAAACGGCGACTTCC